GCAGTAACTCCTTGGTTCATAACGAACTGCAATTCCAGGCGACTGCTTTGTGCATCAATAAAATTAAAATCTTATTACAAAATGATATGCAGTTGCTGTAGAGAAATCTGGAAAATGTATAAAAGGAGAAAATATTAAAATCAGTGATCTCATCATACAGCTGAACTATTATTAATATTTTCGGACATGCACTTCTAGTCTTCTAACCCAGTCTATTAAAAATTCCCATTATTTTCCAATATGTATCATTAGTTTCTTTGATTAGCAAAGTTGTAGTGGTTGTGTTTTCTTACAGTATAGTGTATATCTTAAGTTACGCTTATTGGAAATTTGTAATTATGTTTTTGAATTTCCTATTCATATCATTTACTCATTTTTCTAATGGAGGTAGATAGTTATTAATCTGGTAGATATTTTATATATATTACCACTTGCCTTTTTTGTATATCTTTTGTAAAAATTTTGTAAATATTTGTATTTTCCTCTATTCCTTGCTTTTTAACTTTACACCGCAGCTTCTTAACACCTTTATTGTCACTCCCATTTACGTATATGACTTCTCCTAGGTTTTCCTCTTCACATTTTTTCTGTCCAATCTCTAATGGGCTATATTCACATAATTTTGCTCTGAAGAACTATTCCTCCTTAAATAAAAATGTATTGACCTCTGAATTTTAAAAGTTACAAATGTAGGGAACTATGGGATCACTTTTACAATTTTTCTTTCTTTTGAGATAGAGTTTTGCTCTTGTCCCCCAGGCTGTGCAATGGCACTGTCTCGGCTCACTGCAGCCTATGCCTCCTGGGTTTAAGTGATTCTCCTGCCTCAGCCCCCCTGAGTAGTTGGGATTGCAGGAGCCCACCACAACACCTGGCTAATTTTTGTATTTTTAGTAGACAACATGGTTTCACCATGTTGGCCAGGCTGGTCTCAAACTTCTGACCTCAAGTGATCTGTCCACCTTGGCCTCCCAAAGTGCTAGGATTACAGGCGTGAGCCACCACGCCCAGCCCATTTTTACAAATATTATATTTTTTAAATTAGTGCCAGAGAATCCAAGGAAAATAATCCATTACCTATCATTATCATCTTAGAAAAACCTACATTTGATCTACTTCATGACTTTCTTCTTGAAATAACTTGTTTCAATTGGCTTCTGAGATTCCACATGCTCTGGGTTTCCTTCTTCCTCATTGGCCATGCCTCAGTGGGGTGTGTGTGTGTGTGTGTGTGTGTGTGTGTGTTCATGCACGCCCAAGCTGCTTCCCAGCTCCTCCTCCACTCTCCAGCCTTTATGGGAAATGGGTTCACACTTCAGTTTTCTAACCAGCTTTTCCACTTTTACCTGTTTAAATGGCATGTCTAGCTTGAAGTCTCCTGAACTCATAGTTCAAGTCCTGACTTCTCACTTGAGTTCCAGTCTCATATATCAGGCTGTCTGCTGGATAGCTGTAACCCATAATAGGCATCTCAAAGATAAAATGTCCTAAAGAACTCCTAACTCTTGCCCCACAACCGTCTCCTTAACTTTCCCGCACCTCGGTTAATAGCATTTTAATCCACCCTGCTATCAGGTCATTCTATTTTTTTTTTTTTTGAGACAGAGTCTCGCTCTGTTGCCCAGGCTGGAGTGCAATGGTGCGATCTCAGCTCACTACAACCTCTGCCTCCCGGGTTCAAGCGATTCTCCTGCGTTAGCCTCCCAAGTAGCTGGGATTACAGGCACACACCATCACACCCAGCTAATGTTTGTATTTGTAGCAGAGATGGGGTTTCACCATGTTGGCCAGGCTGGTCTAGAAATTCTGACCTCAGTCCATCCACCTGCTTCGGCCTCCCAAAGTGCTGGGGTTACAGGTATGAGCTACCATGCTCAGCCAGGAGACATTCTTAATTGCCCTTTTCACACCCCACATCCCATTGGCCAGCGGATCTTGACTGTTCTGTCTCAGGAGTATGTGCTGAATTGGATGACCTTTCCCCCTCAGCTGCCACTGCCCTAGCTCAAGCTCCCATGACCTCCTGAACTATTGCCACAGCCTCTTCAGTTGGCTTTCTGCTTCTGCTCTTGTCCTCTTAGATAACATTCCCCAAACAGGATGCATGATATTTTTAGGATATAACATCAAATATGTCCCTATTTTTTATATACCTTTCCACTGCACTTAAGACAAAATCCAAGCTCCTGGCGGGGTGCAGTGGTTTGCACCTGTAATCCCAGCACTTTGGGAGGCTGAGGCAGGTGGATCACCTGAGGTCAGGAGTTCCAGACCAGCTTGGCCAATGTGGTGAAACCTCATCTCTACTAAAAATACAAAAATTAGCCAGGCATGGTGATGGGCGCCTGTAATCCCAGCTACTCCAGAGGCTGAGGCAGGAGAATCATTTGAATTCTGGAGGCGGAGGTTGCAGTGAGCTGAAATTGCACCACTGCACTCCAGCCTGGGAGACAAGAGCCAGACTGCATCTCAACAACAACAACAAAATCATCCAAGCTCCTTTTCATGGCCCACAAGGCCTAGTGTGATCCATCTCCTGCCTGCTCTCTACTGCATTTCTTGACATGTTTCTCATTGCTTAGGACACACACACACTTGCCTATTTCATACTTACATGTGCCTGCCCAGTGTTGTCCCCTCATTGTATGGGTCTTTCCCTGGCTGCCTTCTTCTCATCATTCAGGTCCCAGCCTAGCAGTCACACCCTTGTCACATTCCTGAACCAGGCCCAGGTTTTTACCGTGTTTTTATTTCTTTCACAGCACTAAGAACGACTGGAAACTTTCACACGTGGCTTGCACATTATGCACTCCCTGCTCATTCCTCTTCCCACCAATGTGGAATGCCAGCTCCATGGGAGAAGTGACTTAATTTTTGTTTCCACATAGTAAGTACTCAATAAATATAGTTAATATCTTACAGTTTTGCCGAAGTGTCAAACATGGCCGGGTGCAGTGGCTCATACCTGTAATCCAGCACTCTGGGAGGCAGAGGCAGAAGGATTGAGCCCAGGAGTTTGTTCAAGACCAGTCTGGGCAACATAGTGAGGCCCTATCTCTTTTACAAAAATAAGAGAAATGTACCAGGTGTGGTGGCAGGAAGAGATGAAGCATGGGACTCTTGGATTCACTCAGCCATCTCAGTAAAAGGAATAGAGATGGGATTGTTCTGGAAAATCTGTGGAGGACCCTCTTGTCTAATGGCATTGAACTCCATGACATACACTGGAGACCCACAAGGTTTTTGAGAATGTTACATCAGCAGAAGCAGCTTAGCCTGGAAGGGACAGAGACAGTGTGAAATGAAAAAAGCTTGTTGAATTCCAAACTGCTATAGGCAGGACATGGACTGATAGAGCTACTGGGCTGCAAATATGTGCTACCCTTCAAGAAAAAGCAAGAATAACTCCAAGAGCAGAGCCAGAAGCACAGAGGCAGAGGCCAGAGGAGCATACAGAGATGATGGATGCAGAGACACAGGCCTATGAGGTACTGTGAGCATAGACTCAAGCCTATAGAGCCACCATGGGTACAGAGATGCCCACGGTTCTGCTGTGAGCAGACACAAAGGTCTGCAGAACTGCTGAAGGGCCAGTGGGCAGCACTTCCAGCTAGGGGATTATTTTCAGACATTGAATCCTAATGGACTTTTCTCTGCTGGATCAAAATTGCCTGGGAATGGTGACTTCTTTATCCCTTCCAGTTTTCCCTTTCAGAATGAGAACATCTATCATATGCTGATTACATCATTGTTTTACATAAATTTAGATAAATTCCAAAGTTATTTGGAAACTGGTAACTTGTAGTTTCACAGTTCCACAGCCAGAACAATTTAATCCTAAAAGGAATCATGCCCAGGGTCTCACCCACATTTAACTTAGATGATGAGATGCAGGACTTCTGAGCTGATATATTGATGTGATTTTGGTCTTAGTTCATGCTGAGTTGAGACTTTGGGAGATGTTGGATGGAAAAATTTATTTTTCATGACAAATAGGGATTATGGGGTGCCAGAGGGTGGACTGTAGTGGGCTGAATGGTAGCCCCCAAGAAGATATGTCCACATCATAATCCCCAGAGACTTCATTACCTCAAATGGCAAACTATGTGATTGTAGGAAGCATCTTGAGACAAAGTGCTTACCCTAGATTTTTTCCAACTGGTTCTAAATCCAATGACAAGTATTCTTGTAAGAGATACACAGCAGAGATGTGACAGAGAAAGCAATAGCAATATGACCCAGGGGCAGAGATGCAGTCACAAGTCAAGGATTGCCTGAAGCCACCAGAAGCTGGAGGCCACCAGGGACAGAACCTCCCCAGAGCCTTCAGAAGAGGTGTGGTCCTGCTCACATCTTTGACTTCTGGCCTCCAGAACTGGGAGAGAATCAGTTTCCGTCATGTACGCCACCCAAGTCGTGGTAACTGGTCAGAGCAGGTCTAGGAAACTAACGCAGGTAGAGAGAGTAGGCTTTGCTGGGGACTTTCTTATCTGTGCCCATTGGTCAGCTTTTCCAGTACTCAATCTTGAGACAAAAACAAAAGCCAAGGAGTAACCACCAGAGTCCTTGCTCAGATCCCAAGGTCCAGGGACAGTCTTCTGTCTTATCTCTACCATTCAGAGTCTTGTATTTGTTTATATGACTAAGGAGTTTCACTGCATTTAATGAGAGGAAAAAGTTTATCTATCTCATCTTCCTGGAAGCAGACATCCTAACTCCTAGATTTTCACTTTTTAAATCAATTACACTGTTCCAGCCATAGGTTTGTTTGTTTTTTTTTCCAATTTTTTTTCTTCCTTTCTTTTCACAACTTGTCCTGTAACTGAACAGCCATAAACTTTGTAATGACTGCTTTGGTTGGCATTTTCTTGGTCAAAATTCTTCTGTGGCTCAGTTGCCTAAAACATAAGCTAATATCCCTAGGCCCAACATCCATTCCCTCCCCAACCTGACCCCGTCCTCGCCTTTTGGGTGTTATTTCCCACTGTCATTTACCAGGGTTTCCAAAACCGTGCTTTATTAAACACTAGTTCCTTGGGATGTTGATACACATTTCACACACACAATCAGCAGAAGAAAATGTATTTATAGTCAAATGACATTGGTAAACAGTGAATTTATACAAAGTTAAGCCAGTTTCTTTATGATAAGGCCTTTCAGATGCTTTCCCAGTGCACAACGTGAATCTCCAAAGAGCAAGTGAAACAAGAACCGTTCGCTAAACTTACTTGACCACAGAATGCTTCATTCTATCTCCATGGAAACTACCTTGTGAAGTTTCCTACTACAACTTTCTTCTCCAACAAAACTCACCCGTTTGTGACCATCTGAACTCATTTTGTGCTTCTGCCTTTGTATAAAAGATAAGTTCTGTGAAAGGTTAAAGAAGCAGGGATATGGCACTATTAATGGTCCGGGCACTATACAAATTGATAACTTTTTCCATTATTTTCGTTCAGAAGCCCTAACCATAGATACTCTAACAGTGATTTGTGGAACTCAATATGAGTGTTACATATTGGGTTACATGTAACAAAATATAGAAGCTATTTTTAAAATGAATCAATTTAATAATACTGCTAGATGCTGTGAGAGGCAGGGACCCCCTGGCCTGGCACTGCCACACACACATGCCTGAGTAGGAACGGAGGCGTGAGCATGGTGGTCAGCGGGCTGGTGGGCAGCAGATACCCTTTTTGTCCCTCCTTCGCTGTGACAGTCACCCTCAGGTAATCTTTGGGACTTGGAAAAGGCAGCTGCTCTCCCATCCTGGCTACCGTGAGTCACTCTGTGGCTAAAAGGGCCACGGATGGAGAGCTTGGCACTCCCAACTTTGCTGAAAGGAGGACAGCCACCAAAGTCGTAAGTAAAAACACAATTTTAGCAGCAGTGAAATAAAAAAAGGAAGAGAGGATGGGGCCAGGCCACACCTATAATTAAACTGTCTGTTTAGGAAAAGCTGAATCCAGAAGAAACACAAGCTGTAAAGTGAGAGAGGACAGGGAGCAGGGCTGCTGGAGAGCAGGGGAGGACAGGCTGGCATCAAGCGCTGCTCCGACTCTGGCCGGAAAGATTTGAGTTGGACACTGTCCAGTCACGTGTGTGGCTAACTGTACTCTAGGCACTTTTCTCACAGCAGAGGAAGGAGCTGCCATGGCTGTACCCCTGAATGCTCGTGGGGCCGGCATCGTGCCTGGGCCTCTTCCATGGAGGACCTCCAGTGTGTAGACAAGGCACCGGCAGTGCCCTCGGAGGGCTGCGCCCTGGGTCCTGGGTCCTGGGTGAAAGTCACAGCTGCTGGGGAAGTGAGAGCTCCATCTGGATACCAGAGAATACTGGGACATCAGTGCAGCAGGAGCCATCACGGAGAGCCGTGGCCAGGCAGCCCCACATCATGGGGCCTGTTCCAGGCATCCCCATGTCAGGGGGTTGAGTCTTCCCAGATCATGAGGCCTGCTCCAGGCAGCTGTGCTCTTCTTCTTCTGTCTGTAACCAGCTCCAGTCTAGGGCCTGAAAGTCAACAGGCATGTTAAAAATACAACAGCCACCAATACATCTCAGGTTATTTTTCCTCTTCAGGAGGCAATCAGCACAATTTAGAAATATATTGAACCCGGCTGGAGGCTCACGCCTGTAATCCCAGCACTTTGGGAGGCTAAGGTGGGCAGATCATGAGGTCAGGAGTTCGAGACCAGTCTGGCCAACATCGTGAAACCCTGTTTCTACTAAAAATACAAAAACTAGCCGGGCATGGTGGCGAGCTCCTGTAATCCCAGCTACTCAGGAAGTTGAGGCAGGAGAATCACTTGAACCTGGGAGGTGGGTGTTGTAGTGAGCTGAGATCATGCCACTGCACTCTATCCTGAGCAACAGAGTGAGACTCGATCTCAAAAAAAAACCCCAAAAAACAAAAATAAAAAGAAACCTATTGAAACCCCTTTATTGGCTGGGTATGGTGGCTCATGCCTGTGGTCACAGCACTTTGGCAGGCTGAGGCTAGTGGATCGCTTGAGGCCAGGAGTTCAAGACCAGCCTGGGCAACACAGCAAGACCCAGGCTGCATAAAATAAATAAGTTAAATAAAAATTAAAAAGGTAAACCCTTTTATTTATAAGTCCTGTGACTACAGGCCACTCGAGCTAAGTTACATACTCAAGCTGTACAGGATCTTTGCTTTGGATTGGCTCAGAGCCCTTGAGATTCCGTTGACTGTGTGAACTGGAAAGGTAATGTCAGTAACACCGTGGCTCACAGCACTCACTCCTGTGCTCACTGTGGGTAGCTCATCTCAGCTATGGATTTCCAGCCTCACCACATGACTCGGCTGGATGAGACTTCCTCCTCCTCCCACAGGCACGCAAGTAAGCAATGAACTGATCAAAACATATCCTGTGCCAGGAGGAGGAGAGCAGCAAGAGATACAGAACGCCCACAGACTGGAGGCGGACATTCGACTACATCAGCAAAGGCTGCAATTCACAGTGGTATCCCCTGTAATTCTTCTAAAAGCTTAAAGTTCAGGGAAGTTAGCAAGTGATTAGCAGGTAAAGGCCATGTAAAGATCTAAGCAAATGATGCAGGATTCTCTCAACAATGGAAGCTATGTCTTAATGTACCTGTACCTGGGCTAGTTTTCTCATAACTAGCACTACACTACGCTCCAAGGCCACGGCTGGTTCCTGCTATACCACCAGACTCACTAGTAACTCCCATCCCTCTCCCCTGCCCAGCACTCAACACACAAATGCTCAGCAGTAGTATGGACGGTACAGTGGGGACAGGCTTCCGGGAACAATGCTACCTTCCTCCTCATCACTGGCATTATGTGCTGCAAGGATTAAATAAGATAATGCATATATGTACTTGTAAGCCTTCAGTAATTGTTAGCCATCACTATTATTATGAATAAAAAATGTGTACTAGAAAATCATAAATACACACTGAAAAAAAATCAGCTGGGTGTGGTGATACACACCTGTAGTCCCTGCTACTCAGGAGGCTAAGGCATGAGACTCACTTGTACCTGGGAGGCAGAGGGTGCAGTGAGCCAAGATCACGCCACTGCATGCCTGCCTGGGTGACAGAGCAAGACCCTATCACAAACAAGCAAACAAACAAACAAACACTGAAGTTGAAGATAAAGCCAGATTGCTTTTCCATTTTCTTTCTCTTTTGCTATAGAAAGAAGGGACATGAAATTGCTGGGGGCTTACACAAGCTATTACCGTAAAACTCTGGTCTTGCTTCCTCACAGTGTCCTGTATGGCATTTTCTAGCAGAGTGCAGAGGTTCTGTGCTTCAGCCACCAGTTCTTCACTAAAGAAAATGATCAAATTATTAGAAAGTGGTCATTATTAGTGATGAGAGCTAACACTGCTGTTTTAAAATATGCGAAAGAGTTTTGATAATTTTGATAGTTTTTTTTTTTTTTTTGAGATGGAGTCTCACTCTGTCGCCCAGACTGGAGTGCAATGGCGCGATCTTGGCTCACTGCAACCTCCACCACCCAGGTTCAAGTGATTCTCCTGCCTCAGCCTCCAGAATAGATGGGATTACAGGTGTGTGACACCACACTTAATTTTTTTTTTTTTTGCATTTTTAATAGAGACTGGGTTTCACCATGTTGACCAGGATGGTCTTGAACTTCTGACCTTGTGATTCACCCACCTCGGCCTCCCAAAGTGTTGAGATTACAGGCATGAGCCACTGCACCCGGCCTTTTTGATAATATTTTTTAAATGAAGTAACAATTACTTTGATCCTGAGTGTCTTAAAACACCAACCCATTGACTAATACTTTCATTCATCTTGCTATGCACTTTCCACACATAAGCATTACTGTCCAAAATACAAAAAAAGCAAACAGATTTCAATAAAAAGTCAGAAGTAAAAAGCTCTTTCTGCTTTCTGACTTATTAGATAGCTGAATTTAATTCACAAACTGTCAAAATCTTAAGATATTCTTCAAATCACCTGTTTCCCAATTTTTGAAGTAGTCCAAAAAAAAAAAAAAAAAAAAAACAGGCCAAGCAATTGGGTTCCATAGTTCCTTAGAATCTGTTGAAAAGCAAGTTCTGGGATTTGATTTCCTTTAATCTATCTCTCCCCTTTTCTATAATAAGAAACACGTTTCCTCTTAGGACTGGGCCACAGTGAGAAAGAACAGCATGCAATAAAACATCCACCTTTTTCTAACCTCAGCTATGCTGTGGGGAGATGAGAGACATCCTGTATACCTAGGTCCACCTTTCTAGAGCTTTGAGGATATCACTCAAGGGAATAAGCCACATAAGGGAAGACAGTGCCCCAGAACTTGTCTCACTCTGCAAAATGTGACAATCTGATGCCAGGAGCCATTTTTGCCAAGCCTCGGGGCCTCTATGCTAAAGGCTCAGTGCCGGCCCAGAGGGCAATGGAAGAGGCTCCTGGCCTAGCTGCTATCCTCCAGGAGCTCATAAGATGTTGGGGAAATAATTTTTATTTAATTAAAAAAAGGCTGGCGCAGTGGCTCATGCTTGTAATCCCAGCACTTTGGGAGTCTGAGGCGGGTGGATCACAAGGTCAAGAGATTGAGACCATCCTGGCCAACAAGGTGAAACCCCATCTCTACTAAAAAAAATACAAATATTAGCTGGGCGTGGTGGCATGCGCCTGTGGTCCCAGCTACTGAGGAGGCTGAGGTAGAAGAATCGCTTGAACCCAGGAGGCAGAGGTTGCAGTGAGCCAAGATTGCGCCACTGCACTCCAGCCTGATGACACAGCAAGACTCTGTCTGAAAAAAACAAAACAAAACAAAACAAAAAACAAAAAAATCAGTCAGGCGTGGTGGCACAAACCTGTAGTCCCAAATACTCAGGAGGCTGAGGCAGTAGAATTGCTTAAACCCAGGAGGTGAAGGTTGCAGTAAGCCAAAATTGCACCACTGCACTCCAGCCTGGGTGACAGAGCGAGACTCCGTCTCAAAAAAAAAAAAAAAGGAGAGACAGGCTTGCCTCGAACTCCTGCGAAACTTCTTCCTCGGCCTCCCAAAGTGCTGGGATTACAAGCCTCTGCCACCATGCCCAGCAGAGAGAAAATTAAGAATCCAAGGTTACCTATGATTAAATACCAAAACAGGATACAAACTCCCCAAGGACAAGATTCTTCAAAGCAGCTGTACTGAGATAATTTACATACTATAGAGCTCACCCATTTAAAGTGTACAGTTCAAAGGTTTTTGCATATTCACAGTTGTGCAACCATGACCATATATAGTTTTAGAATGTTTTCATCAACCTCAGGAGAAACCTTGCATTATCAGACACTCCCATCCCCCTTCCCTGCCCCAGGCAATCATCAGTGTTTCCCGTGCCTAGAGATTAGCCTGCAGGATCCCATAGGGCCCTGCACACAGAAGGTGTCAAACAAAACAAACCATGGGAAGAGATGAGCGTGGGAGCAGAGGTGGCATGCAGTGTGCTGGAGAACTGGTGGAGGGCCTGCTAGACACAGACTGCTGGGCACCAACCCTGAGCTCCCAAACCAGGTCTCCAGTAGGACCTGAGAATTTGATGCTGCACTGTTGGACCAGATGAGACCTGAAGAAAGCTTGGACCTGAGCATCTATAACGCAGCGGGAAGCTGTTATTCATGACTGACTAAGGAACATCTTGGTCAGAGTGGTATTTCGTGAAGACTAATTCAACCAGATAAGGCCTGGCACCAGAAAGGCAGGAGGCAGCAGGCAGAAAGCCCTGCCCCACACCCCCCTCCCTGGCCCCGCCACTGTGGTTCAGGCAAGAGGAGGGAGAGGATGGGAAGGTCAGAGGCACCAGGAGGAGGGTGGTGACTCAGTAACTCAAGGTGGTGGTGAGGTGATGGGGGACAGATGGCTCAGGGGAGAGGAAGTGGGCCTACCTGAAGGAATGTAGCTTCCCATGGATAAAAGGTAACAGCATGTACCTGACCAGCACTCCCAATGTTCTCATTAAGTAGTCATCCAAGGCCAGGCGTGGTGGCTCATGCCTGTAATCCAAGCACTTTGGAGGCCAAGGCGGGCGGATCACCTGAGGTCGGGAGTTCAAGACCAGCCTGACCAACATGGTGAAACTCCATCTTTAAAAAAAAAAAAAAAAAAAAAGTAGTCATCCAAGCCTCGGAAAAAGAAACTAGTAAGTTTCGAGGGACCACGAGAGCAAAACCTGTATCACTTTTGTCCCCACAGGACCTAGCAGATGCAACAAACACCCAGAGAAGTGGTAAAATCATCGGACAGACAGTCACCAGTGAAGAACGCTTCCATCCCCAATCTCCTGACGTGCCCTTGATGGTCACACTTAGCACTCCTAAGGAGGACCTACCTCTTCTTGGCTGTCTCGGGTAAGCTGTCAGAGGTCGTGGAAGGCTGAGACATCAGCTGCCCAGGCTGGCTAAGTCGAGAGGCATTCATGCTATCCGGGCTTCCACTGACGGGACCACGGACCTTGCTCTAAGGGACAAAATCAAAAGAAATTAGGAGCCAAGTGATGAATCACACTTTGCATTCATGCCACAGTATTTTCTCAGGAGACAACTGGCTGCCAGATGCCAGAGCTATCCCTAGAGCCCACCAGCCAGCTCCCCTACCCTAGGGTCAGCTGGTGCTTTGCATCTGGCTTCAAAAATGTTTCTGCATCAAAAGGGGGATGTTTGAGGAAAGGATTCTAAATTTAGGAGACCAGGGTGCCTACATTTATTTGCAGTTTTTTTTTTTTTTTTAAACCAGCTTTATTCCTTTATTTATTTATTTATTGAGTCTCACTCTGTCGCCCAGGCTGGAGTGCAGTGGCATCATCTTGGCTCACTGCAACCTCCGCCTCCTGAGTTCAAGTGATTCTCCTGCCTCAGCCTCTTCTGTATTTTTAGTAGAGATAGTTTTTCACCATATTTGCCAGGTTGGTCTCGAACTCCAGATCTCAGGTGACCCACCAGCCTCAGCTTCCCAAAGTTCTGGGATTCGTGATCCACTGCGCCCGGCCCCTTAATGAACTTTTACAAGAAAACAACAGGAAAGTATTTTTACTCTTTTCCACACAAAAGACACACAAAAAAAGGCTATGGGAGTTCCTGTGGCTCGCATCCTATATGACCTGGCTGAGAAGAAGCCAGGACTCCCTGACTCCCAGGGGGCTGCAGCCACTGTCCCTCCCAGCTTGAAGGATCAAGCATGGGCTCCCACTCCAGCTACCTGAGCCTCCTCAGCTCATAGCCCATGACCAGCCACCAACCTTCAGGTCACCCCTCTGCTGATCTCTGCCCCGCATGGTCCTCACCCCACCCGCGTGACCCCCCCGCCCTCCCACCCCACCCCACCCCACCCCACCCCACCCCACCCCCGGCACTCACTGTGGCCTGCAGTCCTTTATCCTTTCACGTGTCCCTCAGGCCATGGAACTCTCCTGGCTCCACATCCTCCTCTCCAGCAAAACCTCAAGGCCCACACATCAAGGAGCCATGCAAGTGCCCAAGCCTTCCATTCCTTGTTCTCCTGCTGACTGTGCCCGGGGACAGGCCCAGCATTGGCCTCCTGTGCTTCTGCCCTGGACCACAAGTGCAACAGGGGACGGTGCCTGCGCTTCCTGGCTCCCTCCCAGCCAGGCCCTGTCCCGGCTCCTGCCCCGTCCTGTCCTGTGCTGCAGAGGGGCGGCTCAACTCCAACCCAGAGAGCAGCCCTTCTCAGTGCTGAGGTTGGCCAGGGGCTCAGATCCTCCAGCTGCCTGGAGAGGCACTTCCCCAAATCCCAGATGTGATCACATCCCCACACTCAAGTTCCTTTAATATCGAGGGAAAAGACAGATCCTGCCCTGTGTCCTGTGTGCTTTGAAAATGAACATGGGCTGGGTGCTGTGGCTCACGCCTCTAATCTCAGCACTCTGGGAGGCCAGGGCGGGCAGACCTCTTGAGGGCAGGAGTTTGATACCATCCTGGCCAATGTGGTAAAACCCCAACTCCACTAAAAATACAAAAATTATCTGGGTGTGGTGGCATGAGCCTAGAGTCCTAGCTATTTGGGAGGCTGAGACAGGAGAATCCCTTGAACCCAGGAGGTGGAGGTTGCAGTGAAATGAGATTGTGCAGCTGCACTCCATCTGGGAGACGGAGTGAGACTTTGTCTCAAAAAAGTAAGAAAACATTATACAAAAATTAGCTGGGCGTGGTGGCGGGCACCTGTAATCCCAGCTACCTGGGAAGCTGAGGCAGGAGCACCACTTGAACCCAGGAGGCGGAGGTTGCAGTGAGCTGAGATTGTGCCACTGCACTCCAGTGTGTGTTACAAAACAAAGCATGGCCTGCATAAGCTCGCCCTTGCCTTCTTCAGCAGCTTCATCCTCCATTGCAGCCTCCCCACACACACCAGCCTGTCCCCACTTGGAACACACTGATTCCCCAGGCTCTCTGCCTTTGATAAAGTGACATCTCTGTCCTGGAATGTCCTCACTCTTTAGCTGGACAGCTCCTTATGAACTTTCTTATTGCTCCCTCTCTTCTAAGAAAAGCTGGAGCTCCCCCTGTGCATGGAAACTGCAGCTCATGCCTCCTGAAGCTGCTTCCCAGCCCTTCCCACCCTGAGCGGCTCTCGCTTATGCCCGTCTGTGCCCAAAGGATTAGGCCCTCCTGGGAACAGGTGCCATGCCTTCTCCCCGGTGTGTCTTGCTGGGCATACAGTCAGCATTTAATAAATGCTCAATGGATGTAAAGGACACATCAGGTATCATGTGCGAATACCTGCACCTCCCTCACCTCTTCAGATCCTCTCTATGTCATTATCCTGCTTTCTCCTTTTCCTCTCTTCTTACAGGAAGATATGTCACTCACGCTCCCAAGGCATGCCCAGAGCTCTGGCATGTGACCCCAGTCCCTCTGTTCTCTGCACTGTGTCATGCCCTCCGCCTTTGACAATGAGACTCTCTTAGGGTGCCACCTCCTGCTTCCACCATGAGCAACCATCTCCCTCTTTCCTTCCCTTTGCTCTTTTTTTAAAAAATTTTATTTCTTTATCCTCATTGTAGAAACTGACCCTTTGCTCTTAAAGGCAACGGATGCCTAAGTCACTCTTCCATCCGTGTCACCTTCTCTGCAGCCTTTCACAATGGGGCTCCCACTCCCAGCAGCTCTGGCTCCCATGACATGGCCAGGCCTGGCTCTTCTCCCACCTCAGTTCTTGGCTGTTTTGTTTCACATTTTCCCCCCATTGACATTCCATGGACTCACAGCTCTGTTAAGATGGTGTGCACAGAAAGCCCAGGTTACTGCACTGACAGCAGCGCGGATGCAGGCGATGGTCAACTAAGTCGCACTGCTGAACATGACAGTGGGCTGAACTGGTGGCCCGAAGAAGAATATGCCACATCCCAACTCCTGGAACTCCTCTGAGTGTGACCATACTTGAAGAAAGCGTCTTTAGAGACTTAATTAAATTAAGGATCCTGGCTGGGCATGGTGGCTTATGCCTGTAATCCCAGCACTCTGGGAGGCTGAGGTGGGCGGATCACGAGGTCAGGAGTTTGAGATCAGCCTGGCCAACATGGTGAAACCCCATCTCTACTCAAAATACAAAAATTAGCTGGGTGTGGTGGTCGGCACCTGTAATCCCAGTTACTCAGGAGGCTGAGGCAGGAGAATCACTTAAACCCAGGAGGTGGAGGTTGCAGTGAGCTGAAACCGTGCCACTGTACTCCAGTCTGGGTAACAAAGCAAGACTCCATCTCAAAAAAAAAAAAAAAAAAAATTAAGGATCCTGAGATGACATCACCCTGGACTATTTGGGTGAGACCCAAATCCAATGACAAGGGTTCTTATAAGAGATACCCCGATGAGGGACACAGGGGTCATATGAAGACAGAGACAGAGATTGGAGTGATGCAGTCACACACCAAAGAATGCCTGGAGCCACCAGGAGCTGGAAGAGGCAAGGACAGTCCCTCCCCAAGAGCCCTCAGAGACAGCTCAGCCCTGCTGACACGGCACTTTCAACTTCTGGGCTCAAGGTAACACATTTGTTTTTGTTTTTAGAGACAGAGTCTTGCTCTGTTGCCCAGGTTGGAATGTAGTGGCGTGATCACAGCTCGCAGCAGGCTTTAACTCCTGGGCTTAAGCGATCCTCTGACCTCAGCCTCCCCAAACTGCTGGGGTTACAGGCATGAGCCACCATGCCTGGCCCAAATTTCTGTTGTTTTAGCCTTTCAGGTTGTGATCATCTTTACAGCAGCCATAGGAAAGTAATACACAGATCAATGAAAATGATTAGCACAGGCCTTTCCTCTGACCTCCCTGCTCACACCAAGTCAAAAAACAGCGACATGAAAACTGAGCAGCAGCTGAGTGGGCTAATGATGGCTCTGTGGTGTCCCATGTGGGATAGCGGCAGTGCACAGACGCGGAAAGGCAGAGGCGGCTGGCGGGCCAAGGGCCCGGGGCCACAGCGCTCACTCACACAAGCGATCTTCAGGAGATTCCAGAGCTCCTTCTGCCGCTTCTCCTGCAGCCGGACAACAGTCTTCTCATCCTCATTCATCAAGCTCACCACCTCTTCCACCTTGGGCAGCAGTTCCAGTGCCTTCTGCTTGCAAACCACAGTTTTACTGCAAAGAATAAACATGACAAACTCTAATGGCATTTGGGCTGGAGAAAGCAGAAGCTGTGGCAACTGTGCATCTGGTCAGCAGCTGCAGAAAGTCGCTTCGCGAGGTCCAGCGAATCAGAGCAGAGGGAGGAAGGGGACCTCGCACCCAGCCTGCAACTCCCAGTCCTTCCTCCGGAGCAGGAAGGTTAGGGCTCATACCTGAGCTGTGTATAGATCACTCGCACTTTCTTCTCGAAGCTCTGAATTGCCTGAAGCAGCAGCCGCACCATTTCCTGACTGTCACCCTCAGTTCGCTGGTCTGGAGAGAGAGAGGGTAGCATAGTTCCTCAAGGAAGCCAGCAGAGAGTAGCGATGCCCCAAAAATGAGATAAGGAGAACCCCACTTACCTCGCGGCTTTTCTCTTAGTCTCCTGTAGAGCTCCCTTGCTTGCTCCTCTCTAAAATATACAAAGAAGTTCTGTCTAGATTTGAGGTAAAATATGGCTAATTTTTATATTTTCTTGGTAGAGATAGAGTTTCACCATGTTGCCCAGGCTGGTCTCGAACTTCTAGGTTCAAGCAATCCTCTTGCCTTGGCCTCCCAAAGTGCTGGGATTACAGGTGTGAGCCACTGGGCCTGGCCAAAAAAAAAATGTTTCTTAAGATTTGCTGAGCATGGTGGGATGCACCTACAGTGCCAGTTATTTGGGAGGCTGAGGTGGGAGGACTGCTTGAGCCCGGGAGGTTGAGGCTGCAGTGAGCTATGATTGTGCCACTGCATTCCACCCTGGGCAACAGAGCAAGACCCTGTCTCTTAAAAAAAATATACAAACACAAATACAAATAAAATAACTAGAGGGGAATAAAGGGTTAAGTAATCAGAGAAAATACAGAATCAAAGTTCTGACATTTGGAGCTCCTGTCCTAAGAATCCTAATCAGGGAACACTGCTGAGCTCACAGTGACACAGCCCTTGACAGGCTGACCCAGGCTGCCTGGTTCCCTCCATCTGCACAGCAGGAGCACATACACGTGATCTTCAGGTAGGAGTGAGGCGCCCAGAACCCTCCTCCCCTCCTGGAGCCAATGCCAAATACCTGACAAAGACTCAAACCAACCGTTTCCAGGTCCGACCTCCTAAGCCTCATCGGGTTCTTCCTTCTGTGTCTCACTTTCTGCTCTGAGCTATGCCTGCGTCAGGGTGTGACAAATCAGGGGAGTCTGATACAGGGGTAGAGGCTGCTTGCGTTTTACAGCCTTATGGATTACGGACTGCCTCTCAAATGCGTCATCTGAATTAATCGTTACACGTTCGTGAGGTCAGACTGCTTTTCTTGCCACTGAACAGATTTGGAAACTGAGGCTCAGTGATGATTTGCTAGAGATGACCCCACAGGGTATCATGCTCTAGAGGATAATGGTCCCACACAGCCACTGAGGGTTCCCTCAACACACACAGAAGCTCCAGGGGTGTCTGTGTGTGCTGGGCACAGTGAGACCCCCATCTGGTACTCACAGGTCATCCAGTGTCCCCCCCTGCTTCCGGCCCATGGGGCTCCTCTGCAAGTCCACGATGTCGGTCTGCAGCGCCATCATCCGCTCCACCAGGAGTTTCACTTCATTCTCCTAATGGAAAAGCTGTGCTAATGTCAACTGATGTGGTAGGAGCATTCTGAGATGCAAGATCTATGTGGGGGGGAAGGCTAGGGACCCTCCACACTCCCTGAGGACTCTCAACGGACTGGCTCAAAGGAATGTGGACTGTGGAGTCAGAATCGCTGCATTTGCCTCTCGGTCCACCACTTTCTAGTTGTGTGACCCCTGGGAAAGTTACTTACCCCCAGGTAGTTTCCTTTTGCATAAAATAGGCTTCTAACAGGGCCATTTGAGGAGTCATATAAGATGAAGTACTTAAAGCTTCTGGTGTGCTGCCTGGCAAACCGAAGATGCCCAAGGCACATTACTTTCTCTTCACTTAATCTGTCTATCTCAATGCCACCCAGCAGGAAGGCCCAGGCTGCTTTATCTCATAGATCATGAGTCCCAAGATGGGGAGAAGCACTCACGCTTTCTATGGTTAATATTCACCATTAAACACACATATCTATCAGTACTAATTTAAAAAGAGATATGAAGACACAGGTGAAGATCCTTGCCCAAGTGCACAGGCAAAGACAGGGGATAAGTCCAGGAAAAAGCCCCAGAGCCCAACTTCAGCCTTCAGTTTGTGTGAGTTTCTTAAGTCACACGTATTTCCTTTGCCTTCATAATTAACATTTTCAGTGGCGTCTGATTCACTCTGTCCTGACACTTTCTGCCTAGACCTTTTATTTCCTACAGATTTAGTGTCCCAATAAAATTTGTCAAAAACCTTCGATAAGAGGGAGTGGGAGTGTTGATCACCCCATCCTATGCCCTCCCTAACAGGAAACAGTCCCGGCTTTCCCCCAAGGGAACCTAACACTTGCTCCTTATTTAAACCTGGACCATCTCTGTCCATCCATGCAGCTCTTGCATCTGGCCACAGAGGGGCTCCCTTTACTGGCTACTCTCTTGGCCTCTTTCCAGTCAGTCCGGTTAAGCTCAAAGCATGGTGAGGAACACCTGATATTTGACAGAGATCAACCCAGTGTTGATGAGAAAGTGAGAAGTGGAAACATAAAACTTCACCCCCTCAGTAAGTTCAAAAACCCAGAATAAGTCTCCTACCCGCCCACAGAGCTCCACAGCCTGCTCCATTTCCCTCCAGGCCAGCAGCAGTTTATCTGATGCTGAAAAAAAAATTGAGAAGGAAAAACAAAACAAAACAAAATAAAAACACCACAAAACTAAAACGAAATAAGCAACTCAATTATAATAGGACAAAAGAAACCTCAGAAAGAGGAAAAGGAAAACAAAAACACGGTCTCTCAAAACGCATTGCAAAGTGCACACTCACTGATGCCAAACTCGGTTTGCTCGTTGTACTTCTCCAGGTCAATCTGGATGCTGGTTTTGAAGAAATCCAACTTGGCCTTGAGCTGCTGAGACATGGAAGCCATGGAATTCTTCATCTTGGAGAGGCAGCTGTTGTTCCGGAGGAGATTCATCCTGCAGGAACCACAAGGAACAGAGTCTTGGAGCATCTCTGGGATCCAAATTCCATTTCCTGTACAATAACAAAACCCCCTCAAATGTCAAGGGAGGTCCCGGTTATAATTATCATCATCATCATCATCATTACAGCAGCCACTCATAACTCAAGGACAATTTCCTAGCCCTCAAAAACGCCTGAGGTTCTGCACCAAACTTGGCATCAGACAAAGGAAGACACAAAGGGCCAATCATGCTGGCAAATGAGTCACACTGGGGAAGGAGTCGTAAGTCCCCAGCAGGACAGTCAGGGGAGTTTTGCTAATCCACATGGCAGTACGCTCCTCTGGGTTCCCAATCCGGCCGCAGCTCCGCCAGCCCACCCTCAGTTCTGCACTCCTCGCCTGTGCTGACCACACTCACCTCGCCAGGTCTAAAGGGGCCTCCTTCAGTCCACCCACCCAACCGCTTCCCGTCCATCCAAACCAGTGTTTCTCTTTTGTTGCTCCTAACAGTTGCTTCTGGGTTCCTGCCTCAGCCACCTCCCTGTGGCCAAAGCCACCAAGAACTTTTAAATAAAATAAATTTAAAAAAAAAAAAAAAAAAGCCTGGCACGCTACATGGCAGCTCGCTGTCCCTGCTGCAGCCGGTTGCAATCCTCCTTCAGGGTCTGGATGCTGTGCCAGACCTGGCCCCACACCTTCCTCAGCTGGAAGAAGGCAAGGTTCCTCTTGGGCTCTTGAACTAGAGAAAGAGACACAAGCAACTGTCAGAGAATAACCACAGTAACTCTCCTACAGTTAACCACATCCTGCCTCACAACGCTGCTGCACTTTCATGTTTTGTACCTACTATAGGATCACATAACTCTGGAGGGTGTATGCCTGGTTACTGTCACATACATGTTTTTATACCCATGACAGCATAAGCATGTGCCAGGTAGTCAATAAGTAGCTGTTGATTTGAAAAAAACTTTATGAACATTTGGACACATGTGTATAGAGAGCCATATGTTTCCAATAAAACTCCTTTTTTTTTTTTTTAAAAGAGATAAAGGTTTACTCTGTCACCCAGACTCATACAGTGGGGCTGATCATGGCTCACTGCAGCCTTGAACTCTCAGCCTCAAGCAATCCTGCCTCAGCCTCCTGAATAGCTGGACTACAGGCAGGCACCACCACATCTGGCTAATTTCTAAATTTTTTGTAGAGATGATATCTCACTATATTACCCAGGCTGGTCTTGAACTCTTGGGCTCAAACGATCCATCTCCTGCCTCACCTTCCTAAAGTGCTGGGATTACAGGTGTGAGCCACCATGCTCGGCCTAGGAGGGCGAAATTGACTGATGGTTTCCTGCACTCTCTCTTGCCTAGCTACTCCTTGCATGTCCTAAATAAGGAAGGCTGCCCCGAGGACCAGCAATACTGATTTCCTTCGTGTGGCTCCCTTCCTTAGTCCTGTCTCCCTCCCCTGCCTTGTCCCACACATAACTAATTATTTAGAAAAACAAAACAAAACAAATTCTTACGGATATAGCTGACACTTTCAGGTTGGGGCCGTGGGGAGATCTGAGTCTCATAGGTGATTTTACTGTTGTCGAAGAGAAAAACAAGATCCATGTCCAATGTGCGGCCCTCATTTAACTGTAAAGGGACAAGAACAAAGTGAATCTTGTGGATCCAACCCTCTCTTTTCCAGAACTTTCCCCACTGCTCAGCAAGAGCATCTTCAGCCAGCAAGTACGAAGCATTCATGAAGTCTTTCTTAACGTCTCCAGCCTACACCTACTGTCTGAATGCATTCCTATTTACAAACTTATTACATTCTATTTTACTCTGTCTCCCCTGTGAAGTTGAGAAATTCACTATATACTCCCCTGTGCAATGATTATTTCTCATATAACTTTATCTCCATAAGTCACCAGAGGCCGTGTCTTACACAGCTGTAGTTAACTCAGGTGCCCAACCCAGTTCTGTATACAGAGGCCGTTATAAATAGTTTCAGTTGACTCAAGACAGTGCAGCATCATTTTTTTTTAACACACTTGGAAGAGGGCCAAGTGGGCAACTTGAGAGATTCAAGTGCTACAGCATCACTTTTTGCAATAAAGGCAAGAGAAAGGCCTTGGAGGGTCTGAAAGTAACAAGCCCAGCAAGGTGATTTGTGTTTCCTATCAGGCCACACAGAGGAGCCCATACGCCAACTTACCAGGCAGGTATCTGCACTGTGTGATTAACAGACTACATGACAAAGTACAATGGAAATCTGAAGGTGTGATGAGTTTCCCAGGAGGCACAGCCAAAGAAAACACGGTGTTGTATACGAAGCCAGGGCTCACCTTGCTGTCTGAAATACACTGAGTGGCAGGCTTCTCGGGGATCAAAGCCAGGCCCGCTTCCTGCAGCAGCTCCTGGTCCTCCTCTGGGATGCCCGTGTCCTGCTGGATTCTGGCTTTCAAGCTCTGCAGACTCTCGTCCTCTGTCACAGGGTAGGTGTGGATGGTGCCTGTGACCATGTTCAAGATATGAACCAGCTGCAACACAACCCAGATGTTACTGGAAAACTGATTTCTTCAAGGACATGGCCATCTACTTGCCTAGCTCAGCTCTCTGCTACTCCCAGCATTTCCCAACCACACAAAGCAAGGGCCTAGCTTGAGGGTGAGAGGTCAGGTGCCATGTTTCGCATATTTTAGTCTTTCATAATCCTGTCTGTCTGTGGCTATGACCTCATAGCCAATGTCAATTAGCACAGCTGTCCTTTCTTTACTTATGCAGAAAGACGGATGCAGGAGCCTAAATTTCCTCACTAGGTCAGCTGGCCCCATCACCTGCTCTGTCCTAAAAACTGCATGTTCCTCTGGGGACCCCAGCTGTTGCCTCAGGGGTAACTAGGCTCCACGCTCACCTTTAAGTTTAAGATGTCATCCAGGGCCTTGAAGCAGCCGTTGGGCCCGTACGTGGGATCCGTGCCCCTTTGCCGGGGGTGCCACATCAGCATCAGCTGCAGCCACTTCTCCAGTCGCTTAGCCAGGACACTGTGGAGAGGAGCAGAGTGTGGGAGGAGACACTTCCAGCCAATGTTGGGCCACAGTGTGTGTCTCCCAGTATACACACAGACGGCAGCCAATGGACAGTAAACGAAAATGAAAAGGGGTTTATCGGAGAGAAACAGTATAAACATTTCCAATCAATTATTCAGGTGCTCACACCTCTTTCCTGGATTCTAAAATACCCCCAAATCAGAGATTCCTGACCTCCAAATGGCAGCATAAGAATGACCCATGAGGGCCAGGCGTGGTGACTCACGCCTGTAATACCAGCACTTTGGGAGGCCAAGGCGGGTGGATCACTTGAGGTCAGGAGTTTGAGACTGGCCTGGCCAACATGGTAAAACCTCATGTCTACTAAAAATACAAAAATTAGCCACATGTGGTGGTGTGCACCTATAATCTGAGCTACTCAGGAGGCTGAGGCAGGAGAATTGCTTGAAGCTGGGAGGCAAAAGTTGCAGTGAGCCAGGACTGCACCACTGCTCCCCAGCTTGAGTGACAGAGCAAGACTCTGTCTCAAAAAAAGAAAAGATAAGAAAATAAACGAAATGAATGAGGCTTTTAAAATACACTTTATAGGCACATCCTAGCTCAGGTGACCCCTACAGAATCTAGATCCCATGCTGCCAGATGTAGTGAGTTCACAGGACAAACTCCAAACTCCTTCCCCTGACCCTTGCAGAGCCTGCCTACTGTGAACCCACCCTTCCCTGAGGCCAACACAGCTCCTCGCCACCTCCCAAACGTGCCTCGCTCACCCCAATCTTTCCCCCTTAGAATTTCCTTCCTCCTTCCTCTTCATCTGTCCGTGTCCTTCACATCTGTCCAGACCCTTCCAAAAAGTTCTAGCTTAACCTGTCATTCCATACAGCATTAGTTCATCGAATCTTCTCTTCCACCCTGTGAATATGGTAATCATTATCCATGTCACTTAGTTATGTGTGACTGCCTTGTAGCTTTCTTTTGCACTGTATCCAATTCTGTACTATTACACAATATTATTAATTGTTTAGATTCTGGCTCTGAGACTGGATTGTAATGCCATTCAAATGACAAAGATTTATTTGTTGACTGTGACACAGAATTGGGCTACATGAAGGGTGGAAAGAGAAATAAGGTATAATTCCCTACCCTTAAAAGGACTGCTGTTGAACGGGAGATAAACCCTATGCAAAACTGAAGGTGATACAAGGTAGAGGCTATTAACGGCAATAAGAGGTATAGACAGATTGTTATGTGAACTTAGAAAAGAGATGATTTCTAAGCAGATGAGGGAAGGGAACCCATTCTAGATTTAAGATTAAGAAGGACTGCCGGGCACGGTGGCTCACGCCTATAATCCCAGCACTTTGGGAGGCCAAGGTGGGTGGATCACGAGGTCAGGAGTTCAAGACTAGCCTGGCCAACATGGTGAAACCCCATCTCTACTAAAAACACGAAAATTAGCCATCTGTAATCCCAGCTCCTGAGTAGGCTGAAGCAGGAGAATCGCTCGAACCCGAGGCAGAGGTTGCAGTGAGCCGAGAGTGCACCACTGCACTCCAGCCTGGGTGACAAAGTGAGACTCCGACTCAGAAAAAAAAAAAAAAAGATTAAGAAGGACTATGTCAAGTTCTTAGAGGACAATATCCTGATAACCTATTTAAAAGTCATCGGATGTCATTTCAGACTTGAATTTCTTTTTTCTTTTTTTATTGAGATGGAGTCTCACTCTGTTGTCCAGGATGGACTGCAGTGGCGCAATCTCAGCTCACTGCAACCTCCGCCTCCCAGGTTCAAGCAATTCTCCTTCCTCAAACTCCCCAGTAGCTGAGATTACAGGCACGCGCCACCACGCCCGGCTAATTTTTGTATTTTTAGTAGAGATAGGGTTTCACCATTTCTACTAAAGATGCTGGCCAGGCTGGTCTTGAATTCCTGACCTCAGGTGATCCACCCACCTCGGACTCCCAAAGTGTTAGGATTACAGGCATGAGCCACTGTGCCCAGCCCAGACTTGTATTTCTAAAAAAGGAAGAAAAATATGTATTCGTGTAATGCCACTGTGCCTTACCTGTTAAGATTATTGGGGTAGGGTAAAGAACTTGAAAACTTCACTGTTCCATTCAAGTCTTCACTGACAACAATGTCCATCTCACTCTTCTGCCGGACTTTTGAATGCCTGCAAATATGAATCCTGTTAGGTACAGTCACATGTTGCTACGACAGGGACACACTCTAAGAAACTCGTCATTAGGTGATGTAGTCCTTGTGTGAACATAACACAAACCTAGATGGTTTAGCCCACTACACACCTAGGCTGTATGGTACACCCTATTGCTCCTAGGCTACAAACCTGTACAGCATGCTCCAGTACTGAATACTGTAGGCCGGGGTAACACAATAGTAAGTATTTGTGTATCTAAACATATCTAAACCTAGAAAAGGTACAGTAAAAAAACAGTATTATAATCTCATGAGACCACTGTCACCTATGCAGTCAATTGTTGACTGGGATACCAGTGAAATATACATACAGTCATACATATCCCTACAACACTTAGCACTCAAGAGTCACTTTACATTTGTAATATCAGTTTACAACTATACAGGAGACTTATAGCCCCACTCTTTTAGAATAATAGTTCATTCACATTGAGTCAGGCAGATCCTTTGAGAGTTTAAGGCTGGTCAGGACTGCTTGAATGACTTTTTGAAGAGCAGCCTTTAGCAGAGTCACTGACCATCTCATGCCCAGAGTTCTGAGATAGTACTATTGCCTCCTTATCTCATCCTTGGCTTTTCCTTCTCATTTGCTTTACCTTCTGTTTCATCTATTACACATTCTTGTGTTTTGATAGAGGTTAAAATTGGGACTTCCAAACCTAGATTACAGCATGCATACGACATTTACACGAAATATGCACAATGTATGCACACACATACACACTTCCCTCTAAATGTACACAGCTAAATACTGTTTCTAAGGATAAGTGCATTTATACATTTCCCAACTTAGGGAACTTCTTGGGGTATCTGAAGTAGTATTTTAAGGTAAAAATATTTTTTTTCCCTGTTGTCCAGGCTGGAGTGCAGTGGCACAATCACAGCTCACTGCAGCCCCAACCCTGCAGGCTCAAGCAATCCTCCCACCTCAGCCTCCTGAGTAGCTGGGACTACAGGTGTGCGCCACCACACCCAGCTAATAGAGACGGGGGTTCACCATGTTGCCTAGGCTAGTCTCAAACTCCTGGACTCAAGCAATCCATCCACTTCGGTCTACCAGAGTGGTAGTGCTAGATTATAGGGGTAAGCAACGGTGCCTGGCCAGTAAAAATAATCTACACACAGCTGGCTTCAAATCTTGGTAATAAGAACAGTAAATTTGAATAATGCTTCATAGATAACCAAGTACTCTGACACAGAGCATTCACTTATTGTCATGACAGGCCCATGTGGCAGACATTATTTTTAGTCCCCCAATTTGGACCAAAGGAAATGATGATCAAATGATTTGCCCAAGGTCATACAACAGAGTAGCACAATCAGGGGCTCAAACCCAAAGTCTGGTGTTCTTTCCATTCTGTCTGAATGTCCAAATACAGTTTTTCCTCAAAACATCTGGGAAACTCAAATAAAAAATGCTTTGCTCCAAACAATACTCATTGGTAAATGGTGAACTGGCCTCTCTGGAACACACTGGAAAGCTAGAAGAGCTGGCGCATGGCAGAAGCTGGTGCTTCACAGCTTGGGCTGACACTGTGACAGCTGTGAGTTGGGAGCTCCGAAGCTTTCTAATCATGTAAGTGTGCAACAAGCCTCTGCTAGAAAACTTAGGCTGTTGATGGGAAATTAGAAAAGGACCCAAAGTAAGATGCTTATCGCTTGGGCTTGTCCTAAAATGTATTTCAAAGTGGCTTTATAATAGAATTGTAAAGCTCGAATTGCGTTTGTCTGGAAATTACTATTTACCTGCCATCTGAGATGAGATAGTAAATATTTTTAAGTTGCCCAAAGCATTAAAAAGTAGATTAGTCCTCAAAAGAGCTCCTTATTGGGTTTCAGAGAAATCTACTTGAAACTGGCCACCTGGCCCTCCGGCACCGATGAGGGAAGCTTTAGGAAGACGGCTTTGCAGACAACAGATTTCCTACGAGGACGCTGAGTCTTCAGAATGTATTTTCAACACGCACCTGTTCTTCTAGTTCTAATGGATTTTAATTCATCTTGTCATAAATAAGGCAAACGCTCAACAAGTGACCTGAATAAATGCAATAATTCCCTTAGTTAAAACCACTATAGATGCACATGTAATTTAAAGCTATTTTTATGATGCTTACACTATAAAGTGAGACTATAAATTAATGAACAAATTCCTCAATATTCCAGAACCTATGTAGCTAAAGGAGCAATGCCTGTTGTAAAGTAACTAGCCACAGCTGGGCATTCTTTGCCATTTCTCCAGACTCAGGGCATGGACCTTCCTCACTGGGGGATAAATGTAGAATTGAACAGACTGCTATCACCTAAGACCACTTTTCTGGAATCGATTTCAAAGGATACACTCTACTTTTTTTTTTTAAGACGGAGTCTCACTCTGTCGCCCAGGCTGGAGTGCAGTGGCATGATCTTGGCTCACTGCAACCTCTGCCTCCTGGGTTCCAGCGATTCTCCTGTCTCAGCCTTCCGAGTAGCTGGGATTACAGGGGTGTGCCACCACGTCTGGCTAAATGGCTAATTTTTGTATTTTTAGTAGAGACGGAGTATTGCCATGATGGCCAGGCTGGTCTCAAACTCCTGACCTCAGGTGATCTGCCCACCTCGGCCTCCCAAAGTGCTGGGAACACAGGCCTGAGCCATTGTGCCCAGCCCACTTTATTCTTATAAATAAATATTCTCATGAGGTAGATACTTGTCCTCTGAAAACACTCATGTTTTGTTTTCATTAGTTCCAGAAGGTGACAACAGCCAGTGTTGGCAAGGATGTGGTGAAAGGGGCAGAGTCCATGCTCCAGGTGGAGACGTGTATTTATACAACCTTCCTGGTGAATAGTTTGCTAACTAACATGCATCAGAAACCTTTAAAATGTGCAAACTCTTTGAAGATCTGTTAATTCCATTTCTAGGTTTTTATCTTAGGGAAACAACTGTGTGCAAGAATTTCCCTACAAGGATGTTATTCTTAGTGTTATTTTAAGAAGTAAAAATTATCAATGTGCTTTCAACCACGGGGGATAAGTTAAATGAACCACAGCACCAGACATTCAATAAAATAATGGACACTACAAATAATATGGAAAAACAAAGCATTTTCAGTATCAACTTTGAAACGCAGGTTGTATGAGGATATAATAACCTACTTTTGTTTACACACACTAAAGATCCTGGAGACACAAAACTGTTCATAGTGATTACTTCCCAATTATGGGATGAAAGTTGATTCCTGTCTTTTTTTTGGTCACTGTTTCCATATTTTCCAAAACATAAAAATGAAACAAAGTTAATCTGGCAAAAACGAGGGGGAATTAAACTACACAGTATGATTTAAGCTCAAAAGAATCCTTTTTTGTGATGCAAATTGGCTCAAAAAGAAATTCTCATGATGTGAAAAGCTTTAAAAGCATGTGCGGCACGAATGTTCATTGCAGCACCATTTACAATAGCAAAGACCTGGAACCAACCCAAATGCCCATTGATGATAGACTGGACAGGGAAAATGTGGCACATATACACCATGGAATATTATGCAGCCATCAAAAACGAGTTCGTGTCCTTTGCAGGGACACGGATGAACCTGGAAACCATCATTCTCAGCAAACTGACACAAGAACAGAAAATCAAACACTGCATGTTCTCACTCATAGGCGGGTGTCGAACAATGAGAATACATGGACACAGGGAGGGGAGCACTACACAGGGGGGTTGGGGGGGGGAAAAGGGGGGAGGGACGGGGGGTGGGGAGGAGGGGAGAGAGAGCATGGGGAGAAATGCCAGATACAGGTGAAGGGGAGGAAGGCAGCAAATCATACTGCCATGTGTGTACCTATGCAACAATCTTGCATGTTCTTCACATGTACCCCGAAACCTAAAATGCAATTAAAAAAAAAAAGCATGTGCAGAACCGTGATCAGACAATGCTACCATTGGGGTAAAAGGTGGGGAAACATCAATGCAGGAACAACAAATATAGGCCAATTTACTGGAACACGTTGTAAACACCCCTCAAAGATGCGAAAACCCTGGAAGATATGAAAACATTCCTGGAAAACAGCAGGTGCCTGTGGGAAGGGAAATGAGGGTCCAGGAGACTGGCGTGACTTGTCACTGCATACTCCCCCATTCTTCTGGAAACTTGAGCCACGTGAACTTATCATTGTTCCAAAAAATTAAAACTTGAAATAAAGAAGTTCTGAGCAGCAGTAGCATCAATTAAACTAATGTGTGGCCTCTCAAGGAACAATCTTGAATAAAATCTAACTGATTTGGGGTAATATTCACTTTTAAATTATGCATTTCAGTAATAATTAACTTTTTAATTTTTCTTTTCTGCCCCCCAGTTCTTTATTTAAATTGACAAATAAAAACGGTCTATACATATCATGTACAACATGAGGTACACACTGTGGAATGGCTGAATTGAGCTAATTACCATATGTATTACCTCACATATCATTTTTGGTGGTGACAGTTAACTTTTATATAAACATATGAACAATACATTATTTCTTTAATCAGCAAAATGAAAGCTAAAGAATACAGAGTAATTCTACAAATCTTCATTGTATCCTTTAATTTTTAATCAGAAAAAGGTGTAATTTATTAGGTTCACAATTTCAGCTACATTCTTACGTTTTATGCTCAGTTGTTGTTGTTGTTTTGAATCTTTTTTTTTTTTTTTTTTTTTTTTTTAAGAAAGAGTCTCACTCTGTCGCCCAAGCTGGAGTGCAGTGGTGCGGCCTCTGCCTCCTGGGTTCAAGTGATTCTCCCACCTCAGCCTCCTGAGCAGCTGGGATTACAGGCACCTGCCACCATACCTGGCTAATTTTTGTATTTTTAGTAGAGACAGGGCTTTGCCATGTTGGCCAGGCTGGTCTAGAACTCCTGGCCTCAACTGACCCGCCTGTGTTGGCCTCCCAAAGTGCTGGGATTACAGGCGTGAGCCACTGCGCCCAGCCACGTTCTTACGCTTTAAAAACAAAAATTTATATTCAGGTTGTAGTAAAATTTGTCAACAACAAATTTTCACATAATTCCTCCTGATTTGTCATGTGTACACATCTTATTTCTGTTTACTTAACAGCATTCTCAGTGTTAAGTGCACATTTTCACACAATAGTCTCTTATTTCCGAACACAAAGCAGATGACATTGACACAGCATTGTCTTTAAAGATGTGAAGGCTCAGAATCCACACGAAGACTTAACAGCTACTCTCTCTATCTATTAACAGGTCCCTGGAGCACAGACCATCCCACTGCCCGTGTTAGGTCCTAATAGGCCTTCCTCTCAGAAGGGACACAACACAGATCTCCCAGGCCCGGTGATGGGGCACCCAGGGAAACAGGGTGCATGAAGAGAAAGGAGCAGACGGGGCTCCCTCTTGCATCGAGGCGGCCTGGCACCACTCACCACTGCACAGGCTGCCAGTTGGGGAGGAAGGGCCGGAAGCCTGTGATGCACTCGAAAGCCAGGGTGCCAAAGCTCCAGTAGTCGACGGTCACCGTGTACTTCAGCTGCTCCAGCAGCTCCGGGGCCTGCAGCAACACAAGGGGGCACACCTGAGCTGCTCCTCTCTGGGGGGCCACGACTCCTCTCTGGGCAGCCAGCCCATCTGCTTTCACCCCAGGCTTTCCTGGCTCCATCCAAGGGGGCACTGGCGCATGCACTCAGGGTAAGGAGGGGACCCCAGGTGTGTTTAGCATGTATATCATGCTACCATTTCTAAGACCTCTCTATGCCCCACTCAAGTAAGTACTGATGGAGGGGCTAAAGATTCAGGGCCAGAGTACATCACACACCCATTGCTAGGTTTTAACTTCTCCCCTTTAAAAATGAGGGTTGCAGGCTGGGCACGGTGGCTCACACCTGTAATCCCAGTACTTTGGGAGACCGAGGCAGGCAGATCACTTGAGGTCAGGAGTTCGAGACCAGCCTGGCCAACATAATCAAACTGTCTCTACTAAAAATACAAAAATTAGCCGGGCATGATGGTGTGCACCTGTAGTCCCAGCTACTCAGGAGGCTGAGGCACAAGAATTGCTTGAACCTGGGAAGTGGAGGTTGCAGTGAGCCGAGATCGAGCCACTGCGCTCCAGCCTAGGTAACAGAGTGAGACTCTGTCTCAAAAAAAAAAAAAAAAAAAAAAAAAAGAGGGTTGCAGCATTTCAGGTGCTTATGGAAGACTAGTTTAAGGCAGGACGCAGTTGTGGGTGCTGTGTAGAAATCGGAAGAGAGACTACAAATGGTAAAGGAAAATGATGCCAGGCTGTCTACACCAAGTGCATGCATTAAGTGCTGGCTGAACCCCTGAACCGGCTACCATGTGGTTGCAGAAAGGGCCAGGATATAATGAGGCAGGGAAAGTGTGACGCACGGCTGCTGCTGAGGCAGACAGAGCTGGAGGGACCAAGGAAGGGGACACAGGCCAGCGGTCCTGGGGGTGCAGACTGGGCTCAGCAGGTGGGTGGAGACAGAAAGGACCAGGGCAAGCAAAGGCATGGAGACAGGGTTGTGCACGGTCTGGTTGGAAATGTGAAACTTAAGGAAGGGCCTGGGAGCCCAAACCAAGAGAAGACATGCTGGGATGGGCAGATCAACCTCTGTGTCTGGTTATGGGCAGATGTTATAGCTCACGCGAGTACATGACTTAACTCAGCTCTCAGTTAGACCATGGGGTCCCCCTTGCTAGACTGCTGCTGAGCTTTGGAGGACTCCAAAAGGACCTACTGAATCTCACACCAAATGGACACAGGTGCCTGAATCACAGTCCCTGCAAGTCTCCACTCTGAAAGCCTCAGATTCCTTGAGTCAATCCCAATTGTGGTGGCTACTGCCATCAGCAAGCAACCTGTGACAGGTCTCACTGGGCAACTGTGCTAAGCCCTCCTGCAATCTAATTGCCCTCCACATCGTCACTGTCACCACCTTGCCCATGATTCACTCCTCTTCAGTTTGATTCCTTCTCTACACAGTATCAAGAGTGGGCTTTCCAAAGAGTTGTTCCTCCCACTTAAAACCCATTGATCTCTGCCGAGGTTTTAAGATAAGGTCTAGAACTTTAGCCCAACCCTGAAGGCCCTTCATAATCTGTGCCCTACCTGGCTCTCAGCTTCAACTCTAGACTCTCTTTTCCTTTTGTGCTTGGTTCCAGCCACACCCGCAGCTCTTCCTGTGTGTGACCCCTTTGCACGGAATTCCCCTCCTGTCCCCTACTTCCAGTCCCTTTCACCTCCTCAGCCTTCAAGTCCCAGACCAGGCTGAGGCCTCCCAATATACACTCTCACAACACCCTGCACTCTTGCTTTGTAACACTCACCGCAACTGTAATTTCTTAGTTATCTGTACAAGCATCACAGTAATGCCTGCTTTCCTGCTAAACTCTAAGCTCTGAAGGCAGAAAAGGGCTTGTTTTTTTCCATTGCATCGCCAGCTCTGAGCATAGCACCTGGCACAGACTACGCTCCATCAAAATTCTTGAATGAATGAGTGACTCAAACAGAAACCCAATATTCAGACCAAATAACGTAAACAAAGAGTGGTAAGCTCAGAGCTCTGGCCCCTCCTCAGTGGCCCCTGAGATACCTCATAGAAACTGTGGCTCAGCCGGGCTCAGTGGCTCCTGCCTGTAGTCCCAGCTACTCATGAGGCTGAGGTGGGAGGACCGCTTGAGACTGGCATGTATCTGTTTAAAACCCTTTCCTTTCGGAGAAGACACTGAGGCACAGAGAGGCTAGGGGTTGGTGCAAGGCGCATGATCAGAGCCCTCCGGACACCAGCAAAGATGACCACATCCCTCCACAGGGCATCTGGTGGCAAAAAATGCTGACTCGACCGGGTTATAGGTGTGACCTCATGCATCCCCGAAACATTCAGAGAGCAGGTGGGACTTAGGTGCTGAGAGCAGGGTGGGAGAGGAGCCCTGCAAATGCAGCAGCAGGGAGGAGCTGACAGGCAAACAGGTAAGGCCCACTTTTTACCAGGTACTGCAGGGTCCCCACAAACGATGTGCAGAGACTGCTCTGATCCAGCTCCTTGGCATATCCTAGGTCAATAATTTTGTGTATTAACTGAAACAAAAGGGAGGAGGAGAAATCTGAGCATTATAAGAACACACTGTCCTTCTACAAGGATTCTGATTGCCTGCTGTTAGAGCAGAGGTATTTCTGAATTCCCAAGTACTATTAGATCCCATACTCCTAAGAGCTGCCAGATACAAAGGAGAATGCTGGCAACACGGTAGATTCAGGGCAAAAGAAAAGGCATATTGTAAAAAAGCTAGGCACGTGTCCTCCCACACTCAGCCACCCATCGTCAGAGCGAGGCTGAATGAACAGAACAGGCACCAGCCCTCAAGACAGCTAAAGCCGGACTTGAAACGGGAAGGACCGTGCCAGCCTCTTCTCAATAAAGACCCTCAGTGCTCAAATCTGAGCACCACTGAGTGTGAACTGGAAGAACGGCGAGCCCTATGGTAGTCACACCAGGCCTAGGTGCTGAGGGCAGCTGTATGGGAAGGGAGTGGGTGATCTAAGAGCTCAGTCACAGCATTCCACTCAGCTGAGCCTCTGCTCACCACCCCAGCTGAACACACAGAGTGGGGAAAGACCACAGTGTCAAGCCCATGGGGCAGTCACCACCTCTTCTGAACCAGGTGGCCACTGAGGAGGCCACAAAGAGCTCTGGTGAAACCACAGGCTGGACCAGGCTTGGCAGCAGATGCCAGCTCCCAGTGCCTCTTCCCAGCCACATCCACAACCAACTGATTGCTGGTTTCCATTTAGCATCAAGAGGTGAGGCCCTTAAAGCAAACAAAAAAACAAAAAGTCGATTTCCAAGAAGTGCTAGTCCCAAAGGCTAGGGGTGGAGGTGGGAAGGCAAACATTATTTTCCTTATCAGATTCCTGCAACTTGAGCAACTAACAATGTGATCCATTCAAATTTGCCTCACTCTGCAAGAAAACTGTTTTGCTGAATTTTGTTTCAAATCAAAAAGCATTCCCAGAGAATCAAAGTGCAGGCAAGGAAATGCAAATACACACAGACAGGCAGAGTGCGCTCCTTTCCTCCCGGGGCACTTCCCGGCACACCCACCCGAGGCTAAGTCCCAGGGCGCCACTCACCCTCTGTTCTCCTTGCTGCAGGACGATGTTTTCTGGCTTTAGATCCCGATGGATGATTCTGTTTTCATGAAGGTACCTAAGTGCAGAGGCTGAGGGGGTGAGAAGGGGGGGATGGGTGTTTATTAAGCCAAAAAAATGCTTTCATGACAGAATCTCCTAACCTGCAAAAGATAAATGCTATGATTGCGCCACTGAACTCCAGCCTGGGCGACAGAGTGAGACTCCATCTCAAAAAAAATAAAAAAAAAAAAAAAAAGATAAATGCTGCGTGTCCCTGAAATATACTCCGACTTCTCGAGCAAAACCTCAGGGTGGAGGGCAGGGGCCGTACTACGTAAGGCTTAGACTTTCATAAAAATCTGGCTTATTTACGCAAGGCATTCTCTTCCTTGGATTCATGAGGTCACCAACTGCAGCGTAGAGCAGTGCTTCTCAAACTACCTGGACCAGCAGCAAACAAGCTTGTTCAAAATGTGAAATTCTCAGGCCCCACCTGAGACCTCTGGATTCAAGTCTCTGGGGATGACCCCATGATCTGTGTTAACAAACTTTCCAGGTGATGCTGACGCCAATAAAGTTCGAGAAGGGAAACTTCTCTGGTCTAGAGGCTCGAAAATCTAAATTCTATAGCATGGGCAAGGGAGAAGGGCCCCTGAGGACAGAGTCATATAGTCACATGATAGACGGTCCCAGGAAGTCAGAGCCAGCTTCCAGGAAGCAGGGAGGCAGAGGAAGAGAACAGGGACACCTCCCACATATACGGACAGCTCAGCATGGACTTACTACGTGCCCAGTTTTCTGGGAGGTTCTGTGAGGGATATAAAATAAGGGGTGTGATCCCCAACTTTAAAGAGCTCAGAATCTAGTTAGAAGGAAGCAGACTGCACAACCCTGGCTGTGGAGGCATCTGATACCAAGAGCTGCTGCTGTGAAGAGGCAACATGACACCGTCACACGAGGAGGGACCCGCCTGCAGCTCAGACGGCAAGAAGGACGTGATTTTATCCCTGAGAGAGGCTGAATAACTTTAACAGACATCCTGGTTCACTGCACTACAAAAGAAAGAAATCAAGCAAGTAGTATTGAAAGGAGATAAAATTATTTTTATTTGGAGATGCTATGGCTGCAGCCTAGAGAGCCCAATAGACTAAAAATTGGAAAAAATATAGCAAGTTGTCTGGAAACAAACAAGAATATACAAGTCAATAGCTTTTCTCTATGTTGGCTATATCCAGTTGCAGTGGAAAAGAAAAAAAAACCATTCACATTAGCAACAAAAACTCTAAAACACCATGGGATACATGTAGCAAAAACAGCGGTGTATGTAGGACAGCCATATGGCATAAATAGAACAGTGCAAAAAACTGAAAAGGTTCTAAAAGTTTATGGAAAAAGATACTATAAACAAAGCCAAAAGTCAAGAGAGCTGGGAAAACAGCCTAACACATACACCAAGGAGTAAAGGTAACTAACAGATAAACAGCCCTTACAAATCAGTAAGAAAGGAACTCAGAAGGAAAATGGGGCTGGGCACAGTGGCTCACACCTGTAATCCCAACACTCTGGGAGGCCAAGGCAGGCAGATTACCTGAGGTCAGGAGTTCAAGATCAGCCTGGCCAACATGGTGAGACCCTGTCTCTACTAAAAATACAAAAAAATTAGCCGGATGTGGTGGCGTGCCCCTGTAATCCCAGCTACTTGGGAGGCTGAGGCAGGAGAACTGCTTGAACCCAGGAGCTGGAGGTTGCCGTGAGCTGACATCACAGCCACCGCACTCTAGCTTGAGAGACAAAGCGAGACTCTATCTCAAGAAAAAAAAAAAAAAAGAAAAAGAAAAATGGGCAAAGAACATCAAGTGGTGACAATGCACAGAAGAAGAGACACAAATGATGATAATTATATGAAAAGTTGCTTCACCTCACTGGCAGCCCAAGGATACTTACTGTATATCTTGGAATGAATAATTAGAAACAAATAGAAAGTCATTGGGAAATGGTAGAACAAATCACGGTAGTGCCACATTAGAACAGCAACTCTTGGGTTGATAGTTTCTGACTCAGAGGGACAGTTAATGGTATGACCTGCTTTTCGTTTAAAATTTCAAAAGTCAAAAGCAGTAACACTGAGAGGCTTAACAATGAGCCCTCTCTGTGCCACTGCCACCGCCACCACCAACATACACTCTCTCTGTCCCTGTCTCTGTCTCTCTCACACACATCAAGCCACACCAAGAGGGCAGCAGCCAGGGCAAACCAAGGAGGGGAAGACCCCTGAGGCCCGGGCAGCGATCCTGTCTGCTGTCATGGGCAGGGGACTCTGTGCAAGGCAGTGGAAAAGCCTTCCACAGAAACTGAGTAAGCAAACATGCTCTGCAAAGACTCTAAGCTGAACATTTCCTGAAAACATATTTAAGAGTCAAACTGAGAGCGGAACAACTGACTTCCACCTTATTAGGGGAGCTCTAGCTCAGAACATTAGGCTATACAAGGCGAGTATGTCTTATCCAAAATACTTGGGATCAGAAGTTTTTCAGAATTTTTTTTTTTTAGATTTTAGAATACTGGCATATTCCTAATGAGCCCAAGCTTAAACACAAAATGCATTTGTTTCATATATACCTTATATGAAACAACGGAATTTATCAAAATGATTTTATAGCCTGATGGTAATTTTATACAGTATTTTTAATAATTTTGTGCACGAAACAAAGTTTGTGTTAAGTACTTATGTGTGGAATTTTCCACTTTTGGCATCATGTCAGTGCTGAAAAACCTTCAGATTTTACAGCCCTTTGGATTTTGGACTTTTGGATTAGGGATACTCAATCTGTGGTGCCAGACCTCTCCTTACATCAGCTCTTTTAAGCCCAGCCTTCGATCGTGTGGTTCCAACATTTCATACTGTTCCTCACTTTTCATTTCCTTCCTACGTGACAGAGTACATTAATTTAGGTCCAATTAATGCCTGGATGAAGTGAAAGACTCACTGCTTTCCACATGCCTAAAACATTGTTTCATCTTGTTCTAAATTGTGTTAATGTTTACAGAGCAATGCTTCTCATCAGTACTTCTATTTTTGTTTTACTAGTTTTTATTAAAAATCAAAGCAAAGCATAATAAAGTAAATGAAGTACAATAAATAGCTGTACTAACACAGCCTTGCAGACGGGGATGGCACTGCTGTTGGGTCTGAACTACTGGCTGGCACAGAGTTCATGTGATAACTCAAAGTGTCTGTTAATTGATAGGTTCATGAAAGGCCATGTGATAACTCAAAGTGTCTGTTAATCGATAGGTTCATGTGTGGATATATGACAGGCTGCTGAAGAGTATCAGGACGTAAAACATAAAAGTATAGGTTAGTTTTTTCCAAAGCAGAATGTATGGAAGTTAAGATGCTGTAATTTGCCTGAGTACACATGCCCAGACTGAGACAAAGCCCCAGAGCTGGAGGCATAGCACCTCAGGGCAAAACCCAAGGTCCAAGCAGGTGTCCCCAGAGCCACCCCAGTGAAGAGGTAGAGGAGCATTCGGATCAGACCGAAGGCACCCCTCTCTACGCCACACAGATTACAGTTGTCACTAGATCTTCAGTGAAGAGAGACAGCAATTTGGTAACTCAATACTCTACTATTAATAGCTGTCTTTTTTTATGCTTAAACAACTGTACAGAACAAACTTTATTCCTCATTCGGGGGTAGTCATCTATTCTCAAATACCTCTGTCAACTTAATAAAGTCCAGGTTTAAAGAATCCAACAGGGGATGGGCGCAGTGGCTCATACCTGTAATCCCAACACTTTGGGAGGCCGAGGCAGGTGGATCACCTGAGGTCAGGAGTTGGAAACCAGCCTGGCCAACATGGTAAAACCCTGTCTGTACTAAAAATGCAAAAAATTAGCTGGGGTCGTAGTGCATGCCTATTTAATTCCAGCTACTTGGGAGGCTGAGGCAGGAGAATCACTTGAACCTGGGAGGCAGAGGTTGCAGTGAGCTGAGATCACGCCATTGCATTCCAGGCTGGGCAACAAGAGTAAAACTCCGTCATCTAAAAAAAAAAAAAAAAGAATCTAACAGGCATTGTTATACAGAATTTCTTGGACTGAAATGTAAAAATTCTGATAGGCAAGATCTCTTAAATGTGCCCTGTAGAGAATAAGCTTTCAAAAAGCTTGGTTCAGTATCACTGTGCTACATTTTACAAAACAGGACTTCAGAGCTGAAGTGAAATGAATCAAAATTGTCTTAAGCCTAGAGAATCTAACTTTGCTTAGATTCAATGGAAAATGAGATACTGAGACTAAGGAAAATACTGTTGTATCTGGAAGTTTATTAAAAATCTAAATCCCTGGCAATAGCAATAAGACATGTTTGTAAAAATTGAAAGCTACACCACAAAGCATAAAAGCCTACCAGGTAATTTCTCACGTTCCCATTACAGAGAAGAGCTGTGAGAAGCACCACACTGCAAACTGTTAAGCTATTTACAACTACACGGTGAGGCTGGGCACAGTGGCTCACGCCTGTAATCCTAGCACTTTTGGAGGCCGAGGAAGGAGGATCCCTTGAGGCCAAGAGTTTGAGACCAGCCTAGGCAATATAGCAAGACCCTGTTTCTAAAAAAAAATTTTTTTTAATTAGCCAGGTGTGGTGGTGCATGCCTTCATCCCAGCTATGTGGGAGACTGAAGTGAGAGGATCACTTGAGCCCAGAAGTTCAAGACTGGAGCCTGGGAGTTCAAGGCTGCAGCGACCATGATTGTGCCACTGCACTCCAGCCTGAGTAACAGAGCAAGACCCTCCCTCCAGAAAAAACACAAAAACTAAAATAAACGACACAAAGCATTTCCACAGAGTGGGTCCACATGGTGGACTTGCCACAGGAAGATAACAGCCTCCTTCTCTCACCCTCCTCCGGAGCTGTGCCCTGGTGGTCACCCCAGCCTTTCCCCAGCTCATGAGGAAGGCATAAACACATGACTGAAGAATGTGACAATCCCATGGGTCTTACTGATGAGCCACAGCTCCAAATCACAGCCCTATGTGTTTTTTTTCAGATGACAAACCACAAACTGGGGAACAGATAAGAGC